ATATCTCTGAGTTTTGAGTGGGCGCATGTCGCCAGTGTGCTGCGTTACTGTTTACATGTGTGAAAAGTGTGTTTGAAAACGAGTCTGATTGCAAAAGCACTCCTGGACTGCCAGCCTGAAGTCAAAAGCAAGTCAAAAGCAAGTGAAAAGCAAAGCAAACTGACATGCTTTGCTGACTGGAGTCAGGGCAGAATAGTCAGCCTGAAGTCAAAAGCAAGTCAAAAGCAAGTCAAAAGCAAGTCAAAAGCAAAGCAAAAGCCTGAAGTCAAAAGCAAGTCAAAAGCAAGGCAAACTAACATGCCAGGCTGAAGTCAAAAGCAAAGCAAACTGGAGTCAGGGCAGAATAGACAGCCTGAAGTCAAAAGCAAGTCAAAAGTCAAAAGCAAGTCAAAAGCAAAGCAAAAGCCTGAAGTCAAAAGCAAGTCAAAAGCAAAGCAAACTGACATGCCAGCCTGAAGTCAAAAGCAAAGCAAACTGGAGTCAGGGCAGAATAGACAATACACAAGCAATCACAACTGGACTGAGAACAAACAAAATGTGCTCACAGGCCTGCCTGTGAAGTTGGGGCCCTGTAGAAATCGCTGGGCATGCTTCATGGAGTCTGGCCTCGTGGAAGCCTGACCGCAGTCCTGATGATCGAGTCGAATATTGGGTAGTGCAAGTTCTCCAACCGTCTTTTTGGCTGTCATCAAGGCATTATAGCAGAATTCACCGCGACCACGCTTGATATCAATAGCGGCAATAAGAAACACCAATAGTTGTGGCCAAAACTTCGCCAGAGTACCTTTGCATCATTAACGACTCAGATTATTTACAATCCATGATTTCCTCGTGGCGGTTGCAAAAACTACAATCCACAACACTCAATATTTTAAAAAAAAAAAAGATGACTCAGGGTATTTGACCAATGCAATACTCTCACCTGATCACACGTGATTATGCTCTCAAGTCAAGATCAAAGAACCTTTGCTAAGTTCAGTCAAGTCTCAAGTGCGTAGCCGCTTAGCTTACACGTCATCGTTTCTACACTTTCACAGCGGTGTTAATCTACACTCGCTTCGCCATTCAATAAGGCAGCAGCGACCTGCACCATCTGTATCTACCATATAAGTTATATTTGATTCCAATCGATCCCTTTTCTAGATAGGCATGATTGATTTGCTTGAGACACAACCTTCAACTTCCATTCAAAAGGATATCGGCTTTAATGTTGTCTTGCCTTGGGTCCTCCACGACCAATAACTTGGGTCTGTTCACCAGAGGCTCCGACATGCAGTCGATATCTCCGGCAACAGCATCACCTTCGGGTGCGTTAACCCAAGTGCGCATGGGGCGTGTACGAGGGCCGTCCCGACTGCTTCATGTAGGACGGGGTTAGACCACGAAGATATGAAAAGTGCTGCCTCCGATCTGTTGTGCCAACCATATCTCTCAAGTCCCCTTATGTCAGGACACCTCAACCAAGGAGTTAGCTAGCGGTTGAAGCACCAGTACACCACATATCGGCCCGCAGGTGTCAGCATGAAACCCGCACCACTTCGTAGGCCACCGATTTTTTTTTTCAACAGCAGGCCTGGCCGCGCAGCGCCTTCGAGTTTTGCTTGTGGCGACGAAAACTTTCTGCAAGGCTGGGGCCGTGTACTAGCGAGTCTAGCGGTTTAAAGCACCACTGCACCTGGGCTCGGAGGCACTGCACTATGCGCCAAACTTTTTCGAAACCGCCAGCGACACACCTCCTCTCATTTTTGGCTGCCGCCACCAGCCATTGCAGTCCGGTAGCCTCGAGCAGCCAAAAATTTTGAAGTTGGTGAGTCGCGATTTTCTACAAGGTTGGGGCCATGTATTGGCGGCTTGATTGTTATCACACAGGGGGGAAACGCTAGTGGTGAAACACTTTAGACCACCAGTCCAATGGCAACAGCATTGTAAACTTCATGCGTCTACGAATGTCGGGGTAAAGTCTGCAGTGCTCAGGCCCGTTTGAGGTTCGGATGGACTGGTGAAAGGGTCCCCAAACACGTACAATGACCCACACAACCTCAAAAACTCTCAGAACCAGATGTAATATTTTCCCTCTTTGTCAGCCAACCTAGTTTGATTTAGTCCTTCAAGGACACTTTAGAACAAAATGGGGATCCGGAGGTACAAGGGAAAAAGCACAGCCTGGGGAACAACGACTGCAATGTTATGTGT